CTTCCTTATCTTTTCTCTCTCTTTCTACTCCCTACAGAGGTGAATTAAACAGCATTAATGTACTGATGACTTAAAATTTTACATGTCCAGTCTCATCCTATCCTCTGACCTTTTGACCTATATATCAACTGCCCACTTGCTATCCATCAAAGAGAAATGAAGTAACACAGATTTTATTCAGACTACTGCAGTAGAGAAGAGAGACTTGAGTGCAAACTGATCTCAGCTCTACCAAAACAGAAGGCAGGAGACTTTTAAAATACTGAGATATGCTAAAGGAAAAGTAGTTAAGGGGTTGGAGGTCAGGGGTGGGGAGGGTGGTGAACGGTTGGTGAATATGATTAGGATATCTAAGTTTGCTCACTAATGCGTATGGGGGGAGAAACAAACTTTTCATATCTATAGGACAGAATGAAATATTGCAAATTGAAGCAAGATGTCCACCAAAGTTAGACTCTTTCCCTTCCACAGGAATTGAGAATCAGGAAAACTACCTCCCTGGATGTTTATATTTCAAAGAGATGGCTCTCAGGCTCTTGAAGGGAGCCTGAGATATAAACATTTATGGGTGATAGAAGATTTACTTCTCAAAGGTCAGCGAAAAGATTGACAATGGCAAGTTTTCTAAAGTAACTGCTCTAAGAAAAGGGAGTCTAGGGGCCTCTAATCAGGTTTTGGCTGGAACAAGTGATAAATTACTTTGACAGTACTGAGCTTTATCAGGAAGGCTGAGGTTATCCTAGGGACAAGTCTTGGCTGATAGAAGCCATACTAGAGTTTGGTCAAGTTTCTTAGTGCAGTAAGTTGGACTAAATCATTCACACCAAGAATTTTGCAGCTGTCACCTGTTTACTTGATATTTGATAGTCATCTCAGAATTCATCTGATTACAATGTACCTCTTAATTGCTTCCCAGTTATGATCCCATCCTACTTTCCCCTACCTTGTCATATCTGTTACCTCATATTTACCACATATCTTTTTTTTCACCTCCACCCATGGCCTAGTCAATCAGCAAATGTGAGCTCTAATTGCTCTGATTATTCTCTCCCTGTCTACTGCTGTCACTCTGATTCAAGACACCATCATTTATCCTCTAAGGACTCTGGTCTGATAGGTGTATATCCAATGGAAATCACTATTCTTTAGGTCAAATCTCCATCCTGGGTGTGGTTGGCCAGTATCTACAGGGCCTGCGATGGGCAGGCACAGTGACTTATATTTCCAAAGTTAAAGCTAGCTCATTTAGGTTCTAGGGCATGAACTGTATGTTCCCAATTCATGACATCTCCCGTTCCTCTTACAGTTTCCCTGGGTAATACCTATTCTTTGATCCCTCTTTCATACTATACTTTAAAAGGAAAATATAAAAGACAATGTTGCTCCTCATAGTTTTCAGTAGAAACTAAGACCCCAGACAAAAATATATAAATGTGAAAAAGTAAAACTTAGGTATCAACCAGCAGGGGGAACTCCAAGAGGCAGTTTCAGGTACACATTCCAACAGGCCCTTGTGTACTGACCATACTTACAAACAGCCCTACTGTGTACAAGACCTCAGAGGAAGAAAGATTTTCATGTACCTAGAATAGGCCTTAGTGACCCATATGCTGGCCCTGCTGAGCACCACTCAAAGACTGTCTGTGATGATTCAGCATTGCCTTCCAAGTATGCTCTCATTTCCTCTTCTATGACCCTGGAATCTGCTTTTGCAATTGCCAGTGACCATGAATAAGTGCATAGTCTACAGTGCATGTTTAATGCATGATTTGAAAAGCACATCATTATTTCAAAAATTTAAAAGATTCCTAAAAGAGTTGCCTGTGTGAGCAAATCCCCATAACACCTTGATTGTTAAAGGATAAAAAAGCTAATTATCATTCACATAATATTTGCATTTATGAATTCTAATTTTTATAGTGAATAACACTTCATAAAATAGCTTCTGACAATTGGCTCAGTTGGAAGAATTCATCTAATCACTTAAAACAAACAAAAAAAACCCAGCTTTTCATTGTGTTGATGAAATTTTGAGCCTTAGTCAAAATAACTGAGATATTAAAGATAAAAAGCCAAAAGGAAAGACACATTGGAAATCATCTCTGATTAAAATGTAAATTTCTTATCGTACTGATGTTCTTATTTATGGCAAAACATTGTAACACTTAAATATTAAGCAGCATTTCAGTTTGGTAGCATTTGTTGTTCTATTCAGCAACTAAAACTTAGCACAATAAATGCAAAATTGTTTTTTTAATTTACATTTTCAAAAGAAATAATCTAGGTCACTTTTATGTTACTTGCATGTAAAATCAACTCCTTTAAACAGAAAGCAGAAAGCATCCTTTAAAGCAAAGATGCTTTAACAGAAACCATCTTTGAAAATATTGCCATTTTCTACCTCAGAGTATGAAGATGATAAAAGTAAGAAACAATTCTGCATGATTTTTAATCTATAGCTAATTGTCACTTCTGAAGATGGTTATGGATCTACCAGATTTTCAGTTGCTTCTCTAACTTGTTTTCTACTGCCCTTGGGTGATTTCACTATTTATTGGTAGCCAATTCATAGTAAACAAAGGCATGGAACAGAAGGCAAATCAGTCAAATCCCCATGTTTTCTGGTAATAATTTCATCGGAATTAATAGCTGATATGTGGTTTGTTCATTTACATGTACCCAGTTTCTTCCATATCTGCAGTGATGCTTGGCACAAAAAACTGAGAAATGATTGTACTCAAGAAGAGCTTTCTCTTGTGAAGTTAATATACATTCACCATATGAGCCAGCAATCCTTCTCCTAGACATTTAACCACGAGAATGAAGGTATATTTCTACACAAAATCCTGTATATAAATAATTATATCAGCTTTAGTTATAACCACTAAAAACTGAAAAAATATAACTGTCCATCAACTGGTGAATGGATAAGCAGTATATAATGGAATACAAACCAGCATTAGAAAGGAATGAATGACTGATACATACACAAGATGGATGATTCTCAAAGACAGACTCAAAACCGTGTATACTTTATAATTATAATTTAAATGACATTTTGCAAGAGATAAAACTGGACCAAACAGATCAGTGGTTACCGAGGGCTGGGAGCCAAAAAGGAGGATAACTACAAAGGGCCACACAGAACCCTTTGCTGGCGATGGAAAAGCTCTGCACTTTGATTTCAGTAGTGGTTACAGAACACAGCAAACATCTGTCAAATCTATACACAACAGGGTGAACTCTACCATACATAACTTTTACCTGAGCAAACCCGCTTTCTTTTAAAAAGTACAAAACGTTGTTTTTGACCTTAGGGAGCTTACAGATGAGAGATAAGGCAAGATCTGAGAAAAAGATGATTCACAATAACCGAATATGTATATATGTGTGTGTGTATAATATTTAAAGTAGAAGATCTTACAAGATATTCACTGTTATAATTTCCCCTTACGTGATTTCTCTTTCTCTTGGGTTTATTTATGGGGCAAATGGAAAGTAAAATTACCATGTATGAAGTCATATTTTTTTGAGGCATTGCAACTGTAGCACTTCAACACACAATTACTTTTGAATTACGTGTAAGAGTGAAAAAGATTGAGTTTCCGAATTGTGGTTGGTGAAATCTAATCAAATTCTCAGGAGTGAAAATAGATTTTTGCATCAGTGAGACTTGCCTTCTGGAAAGAAAGGGTACTCTTTTCCAGGGTTAATCTTGTGGTTGTACATGATGTTACTTTATCACAATTATGCAGTTGCCATATTACTTATCACTGAACCTGCAGTGAAATCACTGGGAAAAAAACCCAAAATTAGTATTTTGGATGGATGACTTCCAACTTTTAACTGGGTTATAGCAGATGCTCCATACTAAGCTAAGCTATGCATTTAATTATATAGGTTTTTCTTTCATTTCCACAAAGTCTCCTGGACCCCTGGTGCATACTATCTTCATTCACCATCACAGAGCGATGTGGAGGACTTTTCAGTAATCTCCATTTCTCCAAATGCATTTCAATACTTCTCTCTCCACTCCATCTCGCTGGCCCCTAGCTGATAATTGAACTCAGAATTGCAGTTCTCAAGGTGCTTGCAAAGGGATATAATCTAAGTTACTCCCAAGAAATGCCTACCCCAAAATCGGGCAAAGAAGATAGTCTATGAAAATTGCCTCAACACAGGTGTTCCAAAGCATTTAAATAGACCTACACTAGGAAGTACATTTCACTCTGATTTTTCAGTTTTATACTACTCTTGTTTATTCTATTTTTTAAAGTTGGTTGCAACTCACTGAAATAATTTTTCCCACTAACAGATGCAAACTGTAGTTTGAAGATCACTGCCATAAAAGATATAAAATTTGCCATTCATCTAAATATTATCTAATCCAAATGATAGTAGTTCACTAGGGGACATTTCACCTTGTCCACTTTTAAAGTGCCCCTCTAACCCTCCACCCCCATGGGTCTGAATCGCTTTTACTGAGTTGTGCTTTGGTTTCATGCTATAAGGCAGTATGAGAATAATTCCTATGTTAATTGCTGATAATGCTATTGAGAACTTCCTTCACTACACTACACAGTCTCCTCTCTATGAGGACCAAGGGTAGAAAAAAACTCTGTTGTCCCTGTAAGGAATAATGGTGATTAACTTAGGATACCAGATTATTTCTCCTTTTGAAAAAACTTACTGTATTTCTTTCCACATTGCTAGTTAGAAGCCTTAGATTCAAACCCACTGCCTACCTCTAACAAGTACTTGGGATTTTGTAGCTACAATTTAGGGATTTAATCTCACTCTTAAATTTCGTTTCATTTGCCTGCCCTTTATTTTTTCTTTTGTGTCACATGTCTTGCTGATTTAACATTCGTTTTAACTGTTTTTTTTTTTTTTAATATCTTTGTGTGTCACTTTAAGTCTTCATAAAACAAAAGAGAAAAAGATAAAGAGGAAAGGGTGTGAGGAGTGTACACCTTCTGCTTTAGGCGCAGACCACATACCTGAAAACTCAGGAGACATGTCCTGCCGCAGCAGCACCTTCCACCCTGAGGAGCATTTCGGCAGAGACAACAGCCTGGCAGAGAATCAGAGCCTTTCTTGGACTGATTGGCCAGAACCTTCTTTATTAGAAAAGTCAAGAGTCCTCTCGTGGTAGGAGGAGCCGCGCCTGGAGGTCCACTGGTGTCAGAATCACTACCAGCTGCAAAAAATTTAAGTAACACCTTCTGAGTAGCTGCTATCCCACACAATAGGAATCTGCGCCCCTCCAACCGGTTTGGGGAGGGAGGACTCTGGGACTGTGAGACAAGGAAGCCAGTCGGGCCTGTAGTGAGACTATGAGCCAAGAAAAGAGAAGTCTTAGGGGAGCATGAGGAGGGAGCAGTCCAGAAACCAACAAGGAAACGCATTTATGGCTACAAGAGTGCCTCTGCCCTTCCTCCTGGATTTCCAGAGGGCCCTTTCTCCTCCTCTCCTCCCGCCAAGATTCTTCACCTTAATCTGGTTCTCATATGCCTCTTACTTCACCCATGTTTGTTTTTATGCAAATAAAGGTTTTCTCTCCAGGGATTAAAAAAAAAAAAAGAGGAAAGGAAGAGAGAACAGTTTCCATGTATAGTGGAAAGACTCAAGGTTTTTAGGTCTTTATTCTTTACATTTTCAAACTAAAATTATCCCCGTCTCTACTAAAAATACAAAAAAATTAGCTGGGCATGGTGGCACGTGCCTGTAATCCCAGCTACTCAGGAGGCTGAGGCAGGAGAATTGCCTGAACCCAGGAGGCGGAGGTTGCGGTGAGCAGAGATCGCGCCATTGCACTCCAGCCTGGGTAACAAGAGCGAAACTCCGTCTCAAAAAAAAAAAAAAACTAAAATTATATGAAAGTACAAATGCAGAACACTTTGTTCTACCCCATCAGAAACAATAATTACAACAGAAACCATTTTGTTGATATCTTAAAGTTAATATAATTAATTTTGTGGCTTTATTTAAGCCATTTCATATGCAATATAAACAATATCTGGACCAGTAAGAAATAACTTCAAGCAAAATCTGTAGTTGTATATGATTCGCCATCGTGCCAAAGAGTGCAGTATTTTCTTCATGGCCAAGAAAAGTATTTGGTACCTAAACTGAAAGGACAGTTTCTTCTGAAAGAAGCAAATGACAGGCATTTACTAGTGGCAAAGGTGACAGTGGCTTCAAATACATTTCTAAGTAACGAAATGTCAGGATATTAGAAGACAGATAAAATCAACCATGAAATTGTGAGTTTGGCTCTATTATTTAAAAAACCTTCTTGAAGTAGTTCAAAACCAAGGAAATTATTTGGCAACACCAACAATGAAGTAAAATTAATTTTTTGGTGATGTTTTGGAAAATCATATCAAAGTTAGACTTTTTAAAGTAACACCCAAGCTGAAAAGTTGATTTATTAAAACTGTATTAGTTGAGTAGATCAAATATTAATACTATCTCACTAGTTTTTGAGCAGCTTTTATGATCTTAGTGTACTATATTTGTTACTTCCAGGATACTAGTACATAAGTAATCAATAGCAACACCATTTTCTTTAGCAGACTGTCCCCAAGAGTTAAACAAACTATTCTGATGCTACTTTGATTTCACTGTTTCCCCCTCCCACCCTCAAGAAAGTTTTTCATCACAACTACATGGTGATATCAAAGCAATGACAAACAGCGGAGAGCAGGAACAAAAATCAACTTACGGAGCAGTTTAAGAACAAAGTTATTTGTATATATTTGGTAAATAGGTATCTCAATAAACAGTAATAGGAAAAGAGGTTGATAAAAGGACTGTAATCATGATGTACAATATCAGATTAGTTATTTGAATACTTTATCTCCATATATAAGGAATAGTCTATGTACAACTAGGTACATAAGAAATTAGCTCAGTAATAATGTGACAATTAATAAACAACATTGTTGGAGAATGACTGAGAAAGAATTGCTTCCACCATTGTAACACTCTTGTTGGAATCATGCCTCTGTGCTCCCAGGGTTTATCTCTCAGATCTTCCAGGCTTCTTTGATTGTCATCCATCAGTCTCTATTGGCTTTGACCCTCCCTCCCCTCCTCAATTCGACCTCCAGATATTGGAAGTCTGTCAGCACTAAGTTATGGCTCACTTCTACTCATAATCCATACTCTCCCTGGATCATCTCAGCTATCACTGGAGCTTCAGACACCATCTACTTGGCTCCCAAATGTACAGTCTAGTTGCAACCATTGCTATGCACTCTATCATAATCATTCATTCAGTTAATATTTATTGTGGGGTATCCATAATATACTATTATCTTGGGTACTGGAGATACAGCAGAGAACTTGACAAAGTCCCTGCCTTTGTGGAGCTTATTTTGAAGCAGGAAATCAGGTCATAAACAAAATAAAGTAAAACATTCGTATATGTTGGAAGCAGTCATTGGGGGAAAAATTAAGCAAGATATGGGGAGAGAATGTTGAAGTTGAAGGTAGAGGCCATTCTAGTTGAGTGATCAGAAAGGAATTTCTCAGGAGGTAAAAAGAAGGAGAAAGCACGAGTCACCACTGAGGAGGAGAAGAATTTCAAAGCCATCGCTAGTTTCTGCATGGCCCGGGCCAACGCCCGGCTCTTTGGCATACGAACACAAAGAGCCAAGGAAGCAGCAGAACAGGACGTTGAAAAGAAAAAGTAAAGCCCTTGTGGGGACTTACAAAAAAAAAATACTGCATGGAGTAAGTCATAAGAGCCAAACAAAGATCCTGGGAAGAGGCTCTTCTAGCACAAGGAATGGTGAGCTCCAATGTTCTGAAACACAAAGGGCATGGCAAGTTTCCACGATGAATAAGAAGACAAATGTGCCTGAAGCAGAGTGATGAGGGACAGAAAGCAGGCAGATGGGATCCAAGAAGTGAGCAGAGGCCAAAACAAGACCTGTCAGCCATTATAAGACCTTTTTATTTTTTTCTAACCAAGATAAGAAATTAATACAAGGTTTGAGCAGATAAATGGTGTGTTCTGAACTAGTTGCCAATTCACTGTCTCTACTTGAATGTCTCACAAATATTTCCAACTAAACATGATCCACACAGACCTTTTAATCGTCCCTCACCAGGAAGAAAATAGATATAATCAACCTACTCCTTCTTCACTTTTTCCCCATTTTAGTAAATGATACCAAGAACTATCCAATTTTTCAAGCCAGAGACTTGCAAAATCATTCTGAATTCATCTGTCTCCTTTAGCTCTCATAGCCATTCCGTGCTAGGAAAAAAAAAAAAGCCTGTACTTTTTATCTTCAAAACAGACGACTCTTCTACTTGCTTCTCTGTGCATCTCACAGAGAATGTCACGAACCTAGTCCAAGCTGTGATCATCCCTAATTTCTGTTTCTAAATCACATCACAGTGGCCAGATCTTTCATAATTTGGACTTTCTATCAATACCTTTCCCATGCTTAACGTAAAAGCCATCCTCTTTGCCATGATCTACAAGGCCCTGCATAGTCAGCTGCATGGCCAGTCCTTTGCTGTTTCACACTACTCTGTCCAACCTTCCTGAGCTCCAGCCACACTAACCTTTTTCATTTCCTTATACACATCTTTCTGACCTTAGGGCACTTGGCTTAACCTACCACAACATCCTGTCTTCTTAGTTTATGGCACTTCTCATACTTCATGAGAGCAGAGGCCACGTCTGTCTCATTCACAACTGTGTACACAGCCCCAGAATCTTGCCTAGAGCATAGCAGGCACTCAATAAATGTTAAATGAAGGAAAAGTTGGTATTGATGTCTCTCTGTGTCATGAAAAAAATGTTTGCAAACATTCAAGATGTTTTTTAAAACATAATAAACATTAAAAAATAATAAACATTTTTCTAAAACACAGCTGGAAAAAAAGTTAAGGAATTAAATCTTAGTACCCATTTTACTTTTATGTAAGTTGATTACATATTTCCAAGGAGGAAAAAAGATTCTAAGAAATAATTAAAAGTAGAATTAAAATAGGAGCGATTTTTTGAAAACCACACATTTCATGCATCAAGTATTTTTTGAATGAAAGGGATAACATTTCAGTCTCTTCGTGTCCTAGATACTGTCCTAGACATGTTCCTTATCTCACAACACTCATCCTCACAACCATCCTGTATCTTAGAAATCATTGTGCCTAATTAATAGACGAAAAAACTGAAGCTCAGAATTGTTCCGTGACCGGCCTACGATTATACAGCTAATTAGGGCAGAAACAGAATTCAAACTCATCTGCCAATTACATTGCAGATACCATCTGAAAAAAACAAATGTATTTTTTTCTAATCATATTTAAAAAATAAATAAATGCTAATGCCACTTAACCAAAACTTAAAATTTGCATGAGAAAATGTTTTTGCTTTAACCTACAGCATGAAAAGAAAAAGAAAAATATACTCTTTGGGCGCTATGGCAAGAACAGTGCAGAAACTGTAATAGGTCAATGGTAGTTTATCATTTCAAAGATTTCTCAAATTTTAGTTATGGGTTTCTCTATCTTAAGGTAAACATTCTTCTCATAAAAATCTATAATTTTATTTTTTCCTTGTATGAATTCCTTGATTGTTAGTTTCTTTAACAATAACATTTAGTGATTTAATGATATTACCTATTCTTAGAATATTTTTTCCTTTTCTTTTCTTTTATATCTATATAAATACATATATATACATATATATATATATTACTGCACTTTAGGTTCTGGGATGCATGTGAAGAACATGCAGGACTATTGCATAGGAACATGCTTGGCAATGTGGTTGGCTGCTTCCATCCCCATCACCTATATCTGGCATTTCTCCCCATGTTACCCCTCCACAACTCCCTACCCCACTGTCCCTTCCCTAGTCCCCCCCCAACAGATCCCAGTGTGTGATACTCCCCTCCCTATGTCCATGTCTTCTCATTGTTCAACACCCGCCTATGAGTAAGAACATGTGGTGTTTGATTTTCTGTTCTTGTGTCAGTTTGCTGAGAATGATGGCTTCCAGGTTCATCCGAGTCCCTACAAAGAACACGAACTCATCGTTTTTTATAGCGGCATAGTATTCCATGGTGTATATGTGTCACATTTTCCTTGTCTAGTCTATCATTAATGTGCATTTGGGTTGGTTCCAGGTCTTTGCTATTGTAAACAGTGCCACAATGGACATACGTGTGCATG